CTTCAGCTCACTCCACAGATTTTGTATGGGATTAAGGTCTGGAGACTGGCTAGGCCACTCCAGGACCTTAATGTGCTTCTTCTTGAGCCACTCCTTTGTTGCCTTGGCCGTGTGTTTTGGGTCATTGTCATGCTGGAATACCCATCCACGTCCCATTTTCAATGCCCTGGCTGAGGGAAGGACGTTCTCACCCAAGATTTGATGGTACATGGCCCCGTCCATCGTCCCTTTGATGCGGTGAAGTTGTCCTGTCCCCTCAGCAGAAAAACAGCCCCAAAGCATGTTTCCACCTCCATGTTTGACGGTGGGGATGGTGTTCTTGGGGTCATAGGCAGCATTCCTCCTCCTCCAAACACGGCGAGTTGAGTTGATGCCAAAGAGCTCCATTTTGGTCTCATCTGACCACAACATTTTCACCCAGTTGTCCTCTGAATCATTCAGATGTTCATTGGCAAACTTCAGACGGACATGTATATGTGCTTTCTTGAGCAGAGGGACCTTGCGGGCACTGCAGGATTTCAGTCCTTCACGGCGTAGTGTGTTACCAATTGTTTTCTCGGTGACAATGGTCCCAGCTGCCTTGAGATCATTGGCAAGATCCTACCATGTAGTTCTGGGCTGATTCCTCACCGTTCTCATGATCATTGCAACTCCACGAAGTGAGATCTTGCATGGAGCCCCAGGCCGAGGGAGGTTCACAGTTATTTTGTGTTTCTTCCGTTTGCGGATAATCGCACCAACTGTTCTCACCTTCTCACCAAGCTGCTTGGCAATGGTCTTGTAGCCCATTCCAGCCTTGTGTAGGTCTACAATCTTGTCCCTGACATCCTTGGAGAGCTCTTTGGTCTTGGCCATGGTGGAGAGTTTGGTATCTGTTTGATTGATTGCTTCTGTGGACAGGTGTCTTATACAGGTAACAAGCTGAGATTAGGAGCACTCCCTTTAAGAGTGTGCTCCTAATCTCAGCTCGTTACCTGTATAAAAGGCACCTGGGAGCCAGAAATCTTTTTGATTGAGAGGGGGTCAAATACTTATTTCCCTCATTAAAATGCAAATCAATTTATAACATTTTTGACATTCGTTTTTCTGGATTTTTTGTTGTTATTCTGTCTCTCACTGTTCAAATAAACCTACCATTAAAATTATAGACTGATCATTTCTTTGTCAGTGGGCAAACGTACAAAATCAGCAGGGGATCAAATACTTTTTTCCCTCACTGTACCTAAGAGAGGGAGTTACGTTCAAGAGTGCTGTGGCTTCTGCCTGGCATTTGTCGATTTTCCTCGGAGCTATTATGATACATTTCCTTTTTGTGTTTTGTGTTCCATCTGGTGCACAACGGGAGTCGTGATATTCTCTCTGCTCTACTCATGCTGCTCTCCCCTGACCCTAGCTTTCACAGCCACTCTCATGCCCAACACTTGACCCCTACTATTACTCCACCGCTGAGGATGCGTGTGGCCATGTGTGGGTCATGTGCTCGGAACCTACGGCTTGATATTGACAACAACTCTCAGTCAATGCCATCCAGTTTGCTACCCTTTAACCAGCGCATTAAATGTGTGTTGGGTACGTGCTCAATGCAGTGTTGGGGAGAGCGCACGTATTTATTTTCTCTAGGGATGTACTAGTTGATATCTACACGTTAATGGTGAATTTGCGTGGAAATGACCCTCGTGTTCTTGACTTACCTTTACAAAGGACCTGTGACCCTTGACGTGTTTGACAATTATATACCTTTTTTCAAAATTTCTTGCTGTGGTTTTCACACCTGATGATGATTGCTTGTGTTGCAGTCGAAACGTCGTGAGAATTGTATTGTTTTATATTTTTTTATTATTTTATTGGTTCCCTTCTACGTGACTTTACCGAAAGAACCAAGAATATAATTAAATACCCATTAAAGCATGCCCTTTTGTACCAATTAGAAAGATAAAGCTGGCATCCCCTATTGGTGAATACTTTTATAAGTAAAGTGAACCCTCCTCCCTGTTGCTGCTCCCAAAGCCGGAATGCCAAAGCGTTGTTTCTCTCAGTGGTAAACAGTTGCAATCTGGTACATCTGAACACAATGAAAGCAGACAAGAGCCTTCCTGCAAGAAGCACACCTAATACCCTCCTCAGCGACACAAAAGCTTCGGTGATTGCCGGCTGGCCAAGCTCTTCATTCAAAATTAGAATGGGGGGGGGGGGAAGGGGGGGCACTCCAACTGATACACTGGGAGTGTTGACATTCCAGCAGTCGTATTAATAGCAGACCCCAAGAGTGATGGGGTTTACTTGATCCTCACTTGAACCCTATCACCATTAACAAAATGAAGCCTCGTGAACATTTACATGTCCCATCCTGTTGGCACCTCTCTGCTTCAGAGAGAATGCCCAAACCCTCCTAGGCCATCCTCTGGAGAAACCTTATTACGTGGGGGAATTAAAATGTTGTCGTGGCCCTGTAGCTGAACACTATCCCGGGCCAAATGAATATTGGGCTGCCCTTTGCAGCCCAATATCACCTCCCGACTTGACCCCAGGGACTTTACACGTGTCTAGGGCTCGTAAAACTGCTTATCGGACAATTTTCCGATATGTGAAAAGCTTATGAAGAAACCTCTCAAAGCATGCAAGTGTCATTTCCATCATTACAATACATGTGCCCATTGCTTTCTGGCTCCTTTCCAATGCAGAGTTGTTGGGCCCTTTAATACCTGATGGCGAGTCTGTAGCATCCTCAGAGATGCGGTGGCTCTTTCTCAGATCTTTGATAATATTCAGCACTTCGCGCTATTTTTTAAAGTAGGAAAGCCTTATTTGAGCCAATAACCACCAACAGCCTTGAAAGTGAGCCTCAGTGTCTCCATAATCAATAGAAGACACGCTCCCTGAAGAGTTTGGAGATTAAAATTAAGAAAAATAAACACTGCCGAAACTAGCTTCTGAGTAGGAATGCACCGGTAGCTGCCTAACGATTTGGATTAATGCGCGATACTAATAATGCATTCTAAAACTCGACACTATTTCAGACATGAATGACCATGACACTCAGGCGTGGATGCCAAGCTCAGTGTCGTCGCTCGAAAGCCAAGCGAGAGAGAGAGGTGGCCTTTCAAGAGAGAGTTGGAGGCCTCTTTAAGCGTCTCAAAAGTAGGTGTAGCTTGAATTCCGCTATTTTTTAGCAGGATGGAAATTCCGCAAGGCACTTTGAGGCTTCTACTCAGCCTGGAAACGACCTAATTCTCTGGACTGAGAGCCGTAAACTGAGATCACACAATTAATGCATTCAGAGGCCATATATATAAAAAAAATCTTCACGAAACCTGCCAAGATGGACCTCCAGTTTCAATAATTCCATCAGAATTTATCCACCTCACAACAACGTGACGAGTATCTCACCGATAAATCCCAGCATCTATTGACACCCTGAGAGTAAACGACGTAAGGAATTACTGTCGGTCGCCGCTGTCTATGCTGTAGAACCAAGCACCAACGAAAATCCTCTCCTCTCGGGCAAGCCACCAGGTTTGGATGGTCTCCCTTGTAGAATTGTACCGGAGCACCTCATCACCCAGTCACGGCAATCCCCTCTAAATCCCTTCTCGGTAATACTGGGTGAACCCAAATGTTATACAACCGAATATACTTAAAACTAAAGTAACGACATTGAATAAGTAATTTCATATATATAAAACTAAATTCATTTATTCCTTCTCTTTTACTTGTACAGCATTCCCTCGTTCTTCACGAACTTGCTATCCACGATTTAGGCTATCCTTGGATTGCATCTGGAACTCGACACGACTACTGCATCGACAGAAGGATAGGTGATGAGATAAAGTGATGATGATGATGCTAATTGCGCAGCATAATAATAATTTAAGGTTAAGTTCATTTATAAACCACTATTTAATACTTTCATATTTATTTGTATTTAGTTTATGTTTTATATAACCAATCTTTATTTTTTTGTGTTATGATAATGTTCATGTATGTCATCGCATATTAAAAACAATATTTAATGTAATTAATCTAAAATATGAATAATGGGCCAATTTAATTATCTGAAACGTATCCCTCGTTAATAACCAGGGAATACTGTAATAGCAAGGAAAATAAATTGATGTTTGCATTCATCACAGACCTACTGCTGAATACTGTCATTCATGAATGTATTCATGTATTTCTTTTTGTGCATGATACTGCAGCTATATCCTCTAAATATTCCCCAAGTTCTGAATCTCTAAATTTCATACAGTATCCTGACGGCAGACTCACTGTTCAAGCTATTCAAGGAGACATTTTTCATCTACTGTACTGTTAATCGCTTAAATGGGTTTCCATTCACTTGAAACTCAGTCACAAAAAAACGGCCTCATCATTAAAATCCTTCAGGGGATTTATTCCAACTTACCAATTCAACAGCATCCACCCAATGACCTCCCCCTTAATGCATCTGCTCCACAGCCTAATAAAAATGTCCTAAACATCTCATTACGATGGTGGGTAGCTGCTCTCTCCCCATTCTGTCCCTTGTGCCTCAAACAGGTGGCTCACTGTTGTCACATTACGTTTGGTATAAATACATACATGTTGCTTATATATGCCATGCAATTCATTTCCGTTGACTGTCTTTGTATTTTGGATGTTGACGCACGGAGTGAACTTCTGCTTATTCGCTACCTCACCCTCAACGCATCTAACCCTGTCAAACGCACAAAGCTGCACACGACCGTTGTTCTTGGATGCTCTCCATTTATATACAACAACAACCCCTTATGCAAATCACACTTTTTTTCTTTCTACCACTGAAGAAGAACGACATCCGTTGGGACAATTTCCCAGTAAACACACGCAACGACGTTGGCCCGACGTTCCGCGTGGCGGGCTGCCAAAACCGATTGGTGCTCCACCTTTTTGTTGGAGGGGGGTGGGGGGGTGGAGGAGGAGAGGAGGAGGAGAGGAGAGGAAGAGGAGGAGGAGGTTGACCCGCGGGAGCGACCGGCACTCGCCTCCTTTTTGAGGATGCAGTTGACGACAAAGATGACCAAACCCTGCAGCGAGTTGAAGACGCAGAAGAGGACGGGGAAGAGGAAGGAGCGCGGGTCGGTGATGGCGAGCACAGCGCACATCCACGTGAGTGCGAGCAGAGGCAGAACCACGCAGGAGCTCCACAGCGACGCCCTGCACACGGGCGCCGTGGTAATAACGAAGGGGTGGTGGTGGTGGTGGGGGGGGGAGAGACAATTGTGCAAAAAAATTGTTACGCAAGGACGTTCGGAGCACGACGCAAAGATCCACCCCGTGTAGCCTTAATAAACCTGTTGGGGCAAGTGCTGTGAGCGAGCAGCACCCTATGCAGGCCGGCACGGTATGCGAGGGGGTGCGTGGCCAGCACCACGCCCGGCCACCTTTGTCTCTCTAGTGGCGATGTTTACGCAACGTACCAGGTGACTCATTCGAGGCTGAGTCGATCTAGAGGAACCGGCCCAGGACCGGTTCAGATAATCATCACTGGTGTTGGCCGTGAGCGGGAATCGGACTCAGGCCGCCGGATTCGTAGCGCAGCGCACGCGTGCACACACACACAAAAAAACTAACAAAGATGACCGTACTTCTCACTTGAATTGCTTTTTTCTCTCTGCATAAAAAGGCTGTCCACTTCATCCCATTCACATGCAGTGCTGTATAGGCTGAAGAAGCAGCTGGCCCATTCTGGTGAAGGTTGCCACCTCTTCCACCATAGGCTAAACCCAAAGCTATCCCTAGGTCTGCACTCAGGGTCCATTTTCAACACTGGGAAGTAAATCGTGACAAAGTTCACCACAATTGCGATGCCAAATCTTGGTTACGAACCAATTCCTGCCGCCTGAACACACACGCTGATGGTCGGACTGTATCAGGTCAAACCCGGCTAGGTGGCAAACCCTGGGCTGTTCCCACTATAGAAGGAAAATGCAAAAATATTTTTTTAAAAAGCTTGCACATTTGAAAGTTCATAAACAGCATATAATTTTACATGTAACACAAGACAAAGCGTAGTTTCACAAGTGCTTGAAACTGCAAGTAAGCAAGCCGTCAGGCTGTATGTAGGGGAGTTGAACTTATTTCGCACCGCTCGTAGTCAACCGTGCTAATCGGAGGTGCGGGGGAAGGACAACAAACGAACCAAAATGTAAGTAACTTAGTTTTCAAGCGAGTGTCGGTGAAACACGAGCGAGGTGATTACACAACCACGCTGTTGACTGAAGATCTCATAGGTAGTCAATACATTTCTCATAGGTAGTCAATCAATTTCACTGTGATCGTTATAATAGTGACAATACAGCAGCTACAGTGGGTGCAGGAGTTTCACTGGTGTTCATCTGAGCAAGGAAGGCGCACACAAAACCCGGTGCCCCTCGCTGCGCTAGTCCTTGTAGGTTACCACACTTCAGTACATCAGCAGGATGCACGCAACCCCCTTCTCTCGCCCACCTTCCTTTGCCCCTGCTTCCCCCTCACCAGCCCCTCACATCCATGGGGTTCCGTGCCACACCAATCCATTTACCCACCGGCCGCCACTGAGTACATGAGATAAAAACTCTGTTCTCCTCTTTCGCCATTGGCCGCCTGCCATTCCATTAACCTTTGCTCACCCCGCGATGCCGTGAAGTGTAGCTTGTGGTCATAAAGCCGAAATGCTTTGGCCATATCCACGATTCCACTGTGTCAGCAAAAACAAGCATTTCCCAATGTTTTAGAATGATTGGGGTCGGTAAAAGTAGCGGGATTTTTTTTAAGCCTTCGTAAGTTGCTACGGCATGAACGTAACTTGTGGTGTTATGAAGCCACGATGCCTCATGTCAACTAAATTAGCAGTTTTCAGTGTTTCAGCATTTTTGTTATTTAACGAGGATTACCTGAGACCATATCAACCACAAATCCTGTTATCTGTGTGAGAAAATTGGTGCAAAAGTTAAAATTTTATTTTCCATTGTCTGTATATTTGCTGATAATGGTAAGCCTTTTTAGGGATTCCAACTTATTAGAAAATTATAAACAAAGCAGAATTGCAGATGGTTCTAACATGCCACAAAGGCAATTATACGGTCCTTCATATGAACCTTATGGTGGGACCCCGGGGTCCCATAATCCCCCGGCTCTCGCATAAACATTATAATGTAAACAAAAACATTGCTTTTTAAATTTTGATTTAAAGCTTTCGTGACTACAGTAATTCATATTCTTAGTTTTTTCGGTAAAGTCACGTTGAAGAGAAACAACAAAATAATAATATATAATATATAAAATAATATATATTTTATTATTTTGTTGTTTCTCTTCAACGTGAAGAGAAACAACAAAATAATAATATATAATATATAAAATAATATATATTTTATTATTTTGTTGTTTCTCTTCAACGTGACTTTACCGAAAAAACTAAGAATATAAAAACATTGCTCTTTTCACCAATGGGTTTGAAGGATGGTGGCAAGTGTCGTCTTAAACTTTATTTGGAGCTTTCGTGACTGCAGGAATTACTTTTTGGTTATTTCGGTAAAGTCACGTAGAAAGAAAGTAAATTAAATAATATAATAGGACGTTTCGATTGCAACACAAGCAATCATCATCAGGTACAAATGAGAAAAAACAAACCTAGTAAACTTAGAAATATAGAGCAATACAACACAGAGAGTCGGCTAACATAACAGTCAACACCCTACCTGGTTGATTACGTTCTTCCAAAGAGTGCTAAATTTGAGAGAGAGACAAAACACAGACACGGAGACACACAGACAGACACATAAGCAGAGAGAGACAACACAGAGACACACAAAGAGAGACATACATAGGCACACAGAGAAACAACAATACAGCACCACATCTGCTGCATTAGACTCTCTTAATCAAATTTACAGTAGCCTTGATAAAAAAAGCAGTACTGTGCCTGTCTTTTTCTTAACCTGTCCAAAGCTTTTGATACAGTAGACCACAACACCCTGCTTAGTAAACTAAGTTGCCTTGGTTTTTCTGAAAACACAGTAAAATGGTTACAAAATTACCTCTTTTCTCGCACCCAAACTGTATTCACAGATGGTTGGAGGTCAAACAGTGTTAAGATAACAAAAGGGGTTCCACAGGGCTCCATCCTCGGCCCCCTCTTGTTCTCTCTTTATGTCAATGACTTTGGCATTGACCTGGATCATTCCAGGGTAAATCTTTTTGCAGATGACACGATATTGATTATTGCTGGCCGCTCTCCAGATGACGTGATTGCTAAGCTCCAGGGTGATTTCAACAAACTACTACATCAGCTAGTTGCTCTTAAACTAGTCCTGAATACCTCCAAAACCAAAGTGCTATGCTTCTCACCGGGACTAAAGCAGGAAGTTATTTTTCCCCAATAACATTCCTTAAATAATTATCAAATAGAGCAAGTCAAGATCTATAAGTATCTTGGGGTCATCCTGGATTCAAAACTTAATTTTGAAGATCACATTGATTTTATTGGTAAAAAGACAAAAATAAAAATTGGTTTTCTGTATCGACACAAACACTGCTTCCCCCCTATGTTCCGTTTGGAATTGATAAAAGCTACCATACTGCCTCTACTTGATTACTGTGATATCATGTATAAATCAGCCCCAAGTACTGTACTGAAGAAGTTTGATTCCATCTATCACTCGGCCTTAATATTTGCATTGAACTGCCCATATAGGACTCACCACTGTGATCTTTACATTGGGTCAAACTTAACATCTCTTAATTTTCGACGGCTTGTGTACCAGATCTTATTTATTCACGATGTACTTACAAAAAAATCCGCAGACTACCTGCTGGATCTCCTCTCTGTTTCAAAGAACAAATTTGACCTCAGGTCTTCGCTCATTTACCAGCTTCACATTCCCATTGCCGCACAAAAACCGGAGGAAGGGCCTTTGCTATTGATGCCCCCAGGGTCTGGAATGCTATTGCCAATAAACTGCAACTTGAATCACTATCTATGAGATCTTCAGTCAAAACTGCTCTAGAGGAGTTGTACACCCCCAACTGCCACTGCTATTCAGTGGCCTAAAATAAATTAAAATGTTTTGCTCCGGATGACCGCTGCAAAGCATTATCTGTATTTTGATTTAGTGTGCTGATCTTAAAGGTGCATTGAAAAATGTGATACTCCGACTAATGCTCCTGTTGTTGTGGAGTGACTCATGCAGCCAGCTATGGCTCTAGGGTTTGGTGTTACATGTTATTTATGTAGTTTATTGTTACAAATTCGGTCACAGTCCCTATGATCACTGTTACATTGCATTTATGGCTTTATTTTGGTGATTTCGAAAAGTTTTTTGGTTTGGCCATGTTTTTTGTTTATTGTAGTACGGAGTTAGACTGATGGTCTTAATCTTAGTTGTCTTGTGGTTGTTGTTGTTTGACTTGCATCCCACTGGGATTTTTGCACACAGCGTTGGTGTACGGTGCTATTTCCGGAATATTTTGATGTTTTTTCCTGGATTTTCTGTTTGCACAGTCACACAAAGTCACTTTAAGATGTTTTCTTGTTCATGTTTTTGTTTGTTGCGGTTGCACCCGATTCAAGAGCCGAATGGCTCACAGGGCTATACCAAATAAATGGAACTAATGGAAATGGTGTCGAGGCCTTACATAGAGAGGGGGGCAGAGAGAGAGAGGGGGGGGGGGGTAGAGAAATTAGCATGTCAATGAGAGATTTGGAGCTTTCGTGACTGCAGGAAATACTAGAGATACAATACAGAGACACAGAGAGAGAAAATGAACTGACTAAAACAAACTCAGTAAAATTTGGGAAAGTAATGCAATACAACACAGAGAGTCAGTCATTCGTAGGTCACGAATAATAATGAAGAGAGCAGTTTCACTGTATTAATATTATGCATACCATTATGAAAAATAAAGGACTTAAGTCGTGTAGGCAGTTTGAGCAGCTTTGGATAAGACTTATTATGATCCTGCCCATACCCGAGCATGGAGCGCATTCGCTTGTTCAGCTCTAATGCGCATTCGTCCTCGCTGCTGTGCTTGGACGACACGACAAGAGAATGATCCGCGCCAGGTGCGTCGCGGCGTTTATGTGCGGAGTAGCAACAATCAATTAATTAATTAATTCGGATTTTGACTTACATTTATTCGGGACCCCGGGGTCCCGCCATAAGGTTAATGTGGAC